CTTGTTACCCAGGCTGGAGTGCAATGGCGCGATCTCTGCTCACCGCAAGCTCCGCCTCCCGGGTTCAGGCAATTCTCCTGCCCCAGCCTCCTGAGTCGCTGGGATTACAGGCACGCGCCACCATGCCCAGCTAATTTTTTGTATTTTTAGTAGAGACGGGGTTTCACCGTGTTGACCAGGATGGTCTCGATCTCTTGACCTCGTGATCCACCCGCCTCGGCCTCCCACAGTGCTGGGATTACAGGCTTGAGCCACCGCGCCCGGCCTGGTTTTTTTGTTTTTAACAGGCAGGGTCTCACTCTGTTGCCAGGCTAAAGTACAGTGCCACGATTATAGCCCACTGCAGCCTCAATCTCCTGGACTCAAACGATCCTCCCACCTCAGCCTCCTGAGTAGCTAGGACTGCAAGAATGTGCCACCACAGCCAGCTAATTTTTGTATTTTTTGTAGAGACAGAGTTTTACCATGCGTTACCCAGGCTGGTCTCAAACCCCAGGGCTCAAGCAGTCTGCCCAACTCAACCTCCCAAAGTGCTGGGATTACAGGAGTGAACCACCGTGCCCAGCCTATACTATACCATATTTTGTTTTCTTTCCTTCTTTTTTTTTTTTTTTTTTTTTTTGAGACAGAGTCCAGGCTGGAGTGCAATGGTGCCGTCTCTGCTCACTGCAACCTCTGCCTCCCAGGTTCAAGCAGTGCTCTTGCCTCTGCCTCCCAGGTAGCTGAGATTATAGGCCTGTTCCACCAGGCCCAGCTAATTTTTGTATTTTTAGTAGAGATGGGGTTTCACTATGTTGCCACGCCTTGTCTTAAACTCCGGGCCTCAAGTGATCCGCCTCCCTTGGCCTCCGAAAGTGCTGGGATTACAGGCGTGAGCCACCATGCCTGGCTATACCACATTTTCTTTATTCATTCATCTGCTGATGGACACTTAGGTTGATTCCACATCTTGGCTATTTGAATAATGCTACAGTGAACACAGTAATGTAGATAATCTCTTCAACATGCTGATGTCATTTCCTTTGGATATATACCAAATAGTAGGATTGATGGATTTGACTATTTTTGACATATTAACAAGGCAATTTTACCTAAGGCTAACAAATGAGCTGCTGTCACTTAACCCCATCTTTAAAAGAACCCTCCCTAGGCCAGGCACAATGGCTCACGCCTATAATCCCAGCACTTTGGGAGGCCGAGGCCGGTGGATCACTTGAGGTCAAGAGTTCAAGACCAGCCTGGCCAACATGGCAAAACCCCATCTCTACTAAAAATACAAAAATTAGCTGGGTGTGGTGATGCATGCCTGCAGTCTTAGCTACTCAGGAGGTTGAGACAGGAGAATCACTTGAACCCTGGAGGCCAAGGTTGCAGTGAGCTGAGATTGCGCCACCGCAGCAGTGAGCTGAGATGCACCACCCCCACTCCAGCCTGGGTGACTGAGTGAGACTCTGTCTCAAAAAAAAAAAAAAAAAAAAGTCAGGAGTTTAAGACTAGCTTGGCCAACATGGTGAAACCACGTCTTTACTAAAAATACAAAAATTAGCTGGGCATGGTGGCACAGGCCTATAATCTCAGCTATTCGGGAGGCTGAGACATGAGCTTTGCTTGAACCTTGGAGGCAGAGGTTGCAATGAGCCGCCGAGATCATGCCACTACTCTCCAGCCTGAGTGACAGAGTGAGACTCTGTCTCAAAAAAAAAAAAAAAAGGCCCCCCCCTTCCCCAAAAGAGCCAAAAAGGATCCCTAAAGCAGCAAGTAGTGAAGACGTGTTCAGAGTCGGGTGGGGTAAGAGTCGGCCAGACAGTGGTTCTGGGGTGAGACTGTCCGGGCACCAGGCAGAGCTGTCAATGGAGAGACGAGGGATCAGGCCCTGCTACACCCTGCCCGTGGCACCAGGGCAAGGCCATGTCACCACCTGTGGGCTGGAGCCTACAGGCCGATGGGCAGCTCCCCCTTCCTGCCTCCTTGAAAGGTTTCCTCCCTGCATCAGAACCAGCTGCCTCCCATCCTCAGCAGGCTGGGTGCAGTTGGCTTCTTGGGAAACATGAAGACTCACCTGGTGTCCGTCTTTTGGCAGGTCAGGAACATCCGCAAGGTCCTCAGGAAGATTGAAAAGCCCTTTGGCCTCTACCCCAACTTCCTCAGCCCAGTGAGTGGGAACTGGGTGCAACGTGAGTACAGTGACACCGCTGCCTCTCCTTCGGCGGGGTCCTGCCCAGGCTTCCTAGGAAGACCCTTCCAGGCCCCCGGGCTGAGTGAGGATGTGTTTGTCAGAGCCACAGAGCCAGCAAGGCGTTGGCTCAGTGCTCCTGGACGCCACCTGCCTTCACACGCATCCTGGGGGCTTGCCCGTGGTTGTCTGCTGCTGTTGTGCTGGATGTGAGGGCTGCTGTTTACTGAAGGCCTGCCCTGCACGCTCCTCACCCTTCCTTCTCCTGCCCTGTCAGTGCCACGGCCTTCCATCTCTTACACTGCTGCGGGAGCCTCCTGCATTATACTCCAGGCTCTTGGGAAGGTCCCAGGTGGAGTCGTCCATTCTAGAAGTAGCTCCAAGAGAAGCCAGGCATCCTTTCCCAGCCCCTTTGATCAGGCTCCCCACTTCCAACTTTAAGTTTTTTTGTTTTTTTTTTTTTTGGGATGGAGTCACTCTGTTGCCCAGGCCGGAGTGCAGTGGCGCAGTTGTGGCTCACTGCAACCTCTGCCTCCCAGGTTCAAGAGATTCTCCTGCCTCAGCCTCTCAAGTAGCTGGGACTACAGGTGTGTGCCACCATGCCTAGCTAATTTTTTGTATTTTTAGTAAAGGCGGGGCTTTACCCTGTTGGCCAGGCTGGTCTTGAACTCCTGACCTCAAATGATCCACCCACTTTGGTCTCCCAAAGTGCTGGGGTTACAGGCTTGAGCCACCACTCCCGGCCCCAACTTTAATTTAAAAAAAAAAAGCTGTACAACAATGTAGAAATAAATCACTAATTTACAAATACAGCCGTGGCTCATGCCTGTAATCCAAGTGCTTTGGGAGGCTGAGACAGGTGAATCACAAGGTCAGGAGTTCAAGACCAGCCTGGCCAACATAATGAAATCCTGTCTCTACTAAAAATAGAAAAATTAGCCAGGTGTGGTGGCATGTGTCTGTAGTCCCAGCTACTCGGGAGCCTGAGGCAGGAGAATTGCTTGAACCCGGGAGGTAGAGGTTGCAGTGAGCCAAGATCGCACCATTGCACTCCAGCCTAGGAGACAGAGGGAGAATCCATCTCAAAAAGAAAAAAAAAAAAAAAACATGAATTCACCTTTGCATCTTAGACCTACAAGAAACAGTCCCGGAGTTTTCAGTTCTCTGTTCAGAGACTTGTTTCTTAGCCAGATAATAACCAGTCACCCATGGAACATCATTCACAAGCCACCAGCCCCACCCAGTGCAACAGAAATGGGTTTGGGGGTCACTTAGGTGTGAACATGTGGGCAGGTGCCCCAGGCCCCTGGAATGTGTATGCCTGTTGAGAAGCCCAGCTCTGGGAAGCAGAGGCAGGCCCTGGTCACATGGCCATGGTCAGCCAGAATTGGCAGTGACAGGTTCCATGGGGCCTCCCAAGACCTGCCAGAGCCCCCACCTCCAGTGCTGTGTGCAAATAAGAACCCTTACCCTTTCCCCTGCCTTCAACCCAGCTGTTGTGACATCAGTAAGGGCTCAGAGGCAGAGCAGATAGGAGTCTAATGACTGCATGGCTTGGGGGGAATTCACTGTATCTCTTTGAACCTTGGTTTCCTGTCCTGCAAAATGAGAGAAGAAAGTGAGATGCATTCTTTGTGTGCCATGGAGGGGCGTAGGAAGAATGGTCAAAGGCTGCAGGAAACATATTTCACTTCCATCCTCCAAAGATGACACAGGTTGTCCCAAGAGGGAGCAATGCAAGTGGGCCCTAGAGAGGAGGCATTAGGGGCACTGTGGCGAAGCAGCTGAGGCCTTTCCCTCCAACCTGAGCCTCCCTCAGAAAACCCCACCCAGCAATCTCCCCAGTAATCACCTTACCCCAAGTGGCCTCCTGTAAAAACCACTTACCGAAATGCAAAGTATTTTTAACCAAAACACACCGCCAAATCCAAGAGTACAGGGCAGGTGGCGGGGGCGGGGAGTCGGGGGGCATGGGGAATGAAGGCTTGAATTGCAGATTATGGGCACGGGAAGAGGCAGTTCGATAACAGTTAGTGGCTTTAACTGCAAGACCTGACTGGGTAAGGAGATAAACCCCTCTGCTGGGCGGAGCTGCTCCAGGGCAAGGCAGCAGAACCATGAAAAGGGCTGAGAGGAGTGTGGGCTTCCAGCTAAACTGTTACCTTGGCAAATTATGAGGGAGCCCCTGCTGGGAAGCATAATTTTCTTCTCTGGCTGTGCCAGGGGCTGCAGGTCCAGGCAAAGTCAGTCACATATGGGAAATTGTTTCCTATTAATAAAATACGAGCCCTCAGCCTGCTAAAGAGCAGAGGGGGTTCTAACGCCCAAATGTCTGCCTTCTTCCTCCCCTGGCCTTGGTGCCTGGGGTCATCCCAGGTTTGCTGTGGTTTTTTTGTTGAGTTTTTTTTTTGGTGCACATGTATTCTTTTATCACATGATAGCATTAGCACCTTGCATAAGCTTAAGTACATGCATGTCACTTTCTCTTCTTGAATCTTCAGAACAAGCCTGAAGGCAGGACAGGCAGGGACTGTGTAGCCCATTTGCAACCACAGAAATTGCAGCCTAACGAGGCGGAGGAGGAATTAGGACTGTGTCTCAGCTACCCAGGCCTCTTTTCATCAGCTTCCCACTCCTCCTGGAAACCAAGCTTCCAGGGCAACAGGGAAGCCCCAAGACCATCCTGCTGACTTCACACCCAGGATAAATTCACCAGGCTCCCGATTGCACCCAACACAGATGAGACCACCCTAAGGCTGACCCGCTGAGAGCTGTGGGGGGGGGGGGTCACCAGCCCCTCACTGTGGTGCCTGAGTAACTTGTCCTCCTTGTCCACTGCCTGAATCCCACACTTTCTTCTGTGGGAAGGAAGTGGCAAGTCCAGACCTCCCTGGCGGATACAGGAGCGTGAGCTGCAGCCTGGCAGCTTCCCCAGCATCAGGTCGGCTGATTTCCAGGCTTGTGGCTCAGCCTCCTGCTGCCAGGTGTGACAAGCACATTGGCACAGTCAGGAAGCAGCAGAGCCCGACTCTGCTTTGGGGCTCACGGACACCAGCTTATGCCCCCTTCACGCACTACAGAAGGGAAACTGAGGCCCAGAGTGGGCAGGGGTGCGCCCTGAGCTAATGCAGAGCCACGTCTTCTCCTGTGCCTGTGCTTCTCCCAGCCCCTCTGTCAGTGTTGGGAAAGACCACACTCACACACACACACACAACACACTACATACACACACCTACCACCCACACTCCCTCCCACACACACCACACTACACTCAGACCTACCACCCCCCACACACAACACTACACACACATCTACCACCCATACTCCCTCCCACACACACACATACACACAACACACTACACACACACCTACCACCCACACTCCCTCCCAGACACACACACACTACATACTCCCCCTCACACACAGACCCACACACCCAGACTCCCCTCACACACCACACCCACACACACCCCACACACACATTACACATATTCCCACTACACACACTCCCCTCACACACATCCATACTCCCCTTACACTCTACATAAACACATTACACACTCTTCCCCTACACACACTCACACACTACACACTCCCCACACTCCCCTCATATATACACACACTACACACTCCTCACGCATATACCCACACACTGCACATACTCCCATCACACACACTGCACACCCACACTCCCCCACACACACTACACACGCTCCCCTCACATACACATACACACTCCCTCACACACATCCATACTCCCCTTACACACGCTTATACACGTTACACACACACGCACTACACACTCCCTCACACACATCCATATTCACCTTACACATGCTCTACACACACATTACACACAACCCCACACACTGCACGCTTCCCTCACACACAAACTACACACTCCCTCACACACATCCATACTCACCTTACACATGCACTACACACATTACACGTACCCCCACACACTGCACACTTCCCTCACACACAGACTGCACACCCTCACACATACACCACACGCTCCTCTCACATGCACACACCCCAAACACTACACATACTCCCCCACACACATACTACACACCACCCACACACCCACACACAGTACACACTCCCCTCACACACACACACCACACATACTCCTCTCACATGCTACACACCACACACACTCCCTCACACACACTACCACACACACACTCCCCAAACACATCCACACACCCATACCCCTCAGTGCGCACACACACACACACACACACACCACACACACACACACACACAGTAAAGCAGTGGGACCCTCACATGTGAGATGTCCATGCGAGTGCCCCCGAGAGGCAGTCACATCTCCGCACACCAGACTCTAATGACCTGGTTCCCTCCCCTATGTGCCCTCCCAAGGAAGCCTTGTCACGCACACACTCCGCTACCACATGATTGTGTCTCAACTCCTTGGCTTGGCATTCGAGGCCCTTCCCGGCACGGCTCAAGCCTCCCTCCCTTTCACCCACTCAGCACTCCCTGGGCATCCCTGTGCACCTTGTAGTTACCGGGCACAGAGCGGGAATTGCATGCTGTGCCTCCCCACAAAGAGCCCACGCGCTAGTGAGGGAGGCAGAGCCATACGCAGGCACTCACCACACACCCGGCGGGCACCCGATGGCCAGGCAAGCCCACCACCCAAGGGGAGCACTGCCTCAAGGGCTTCAGATGGTGCCCGGCCTTGTTTCACTAAATCCCCCCGCCACCCTATGGGGAGAGACCCTGAGCAGGCTTGTGAGAACGCCTGAGCCCCCGCATGGGTTACGAGGTGGGGAGGGCGTGCCACACAGGTGACAGCGCCCGTACGTAGCTGCTGTGCCTGTGACAGGGCTGGAGAAGGTCTCTGAGCAGAGGCCTGGAACTCAGTTTGACTTCCAGCCTCCCCTGACCCCTGCTCTGCAACAGACCTGCCCCTCCTCAACATGCCAGGCCTGGCTCAGCCCTCCCCTTCTGTGGGGCACCTAGGAAGGAGAGAGGTGCCACGTCTCCCTTCTCTCCATACCAGAGCACGGCCCAGCCCACCCTGGCCCCTTCCAGCTCCTCCTCAAAGCGCGCGCTTCATCTTAAATGTTCCAGTTTTTGCAGATGCTAGTCGGTTCTGGAACCCTTGCTGGGCCAGGACTTATTTATGGATCAGGGCTGGAGGGGGCCGGAAGGGCGGTGTACCATGTGGCTGGCCTCCTCTCGACCCCGCTTCCTGGGTCCCATCTGCCTTCGCCCTGTCTTTTGGTCCCTTAGTCCTCACACTTGTCTGTCTCTGCGAGTCTCTGTCTTACTCTCGGGCTGACTGTGTGCAGCTGTGGAAGTGAGGCTCTGCCCTTCACCAGCTCGACGGCCTTGGACGAGCCGTTTAGGCTCAGTTGCTGTTCTCCCATCTGGGAAATGGGGTCGATAGTGCCTACCTTGCAGGGTGCCCGGGGAAGATGAAGTTATAAATAATACAGTGAGGCTCCTGGCCCACAATAAATGGTAGCTGTTGGCATGTTCTCTCTCTCTTTCTATCCCTCCCCCCGCCCCGCAACGTTCCCTCTCCCTCTTTCTGCCCCCTTCTCCTGCTGAGGAGTTGAAAACACTCTGCCCATTCCCCCCCCACCCCGCCTTTGGTCCACCCCCCGTTTTCTTTCTTCTCTCTGTCTCTCTGCTTTAAGTGAATCAGAACACAGAGCTGGTTTGTTCTTTCTTAAATCTATCAAATGCCTTTACATTTCCCTGTTGTTAATTTTCAAAGCCTGGGAATGAAATGCTTTCTGTCTTGCTTCTGCAGTGAAGTGTTCCTTGGGCAACCCCTGTTCCTCCTGGGGCAGCCCTGGCTGGAGACAGCTCCGAGTTCGGCCACAGCCTGCGAGGCTCCGCTCCTGGGCTGGCCCAGCCCACCGTCCAGCAGGCAGAGGCCACCGGGCCAGAGAGGGGGGTTTCCGGCTCAATTTTTCCCTCCCCCGCCCCTTAGAACTCCATTTATCCCAATTTGCTAAATTTAAACTCAGTTTTTCTAGAGTGGCTCCTTACTTGAGGGCTTGGCCAGCTAAATTAAGGCTCTTCCTCCTCTTTCCCATGGCCTTTTATGAAGCTGCCCAGCATTAATTATCATGTTTGTCACTGGGTAATAAAAATCTCTGAACTCCCTGCCACCAGATTATCTTTGTAAAGAAATGCAACTCATTTACAGTTAATAACCAGAGGCCCTGCATCCCCAGCCTGCTAAGGCAAGCGATTTAAAGCACCCGCCGGATGAGCCCTTGCACTTTTGCACAGGACAGTCCCTGGTCCAAGTTCAGTGGCTGCTGGCGAGATGCCCACTTCCCACCCGTTTAGGCACCGGGCCCCTGAGGCCAGGTGGGCGTGCAAGGCACTGCCCTGTGAGAGCCGACGGCAGATAGAGATAACGTTCTTGTTCCCTTCCCCCTCACAGACCACGTCTCGGTTGGAGGACTCGGGGACAGTTTTTATGAATATTTGATCAAATCCTGGTTGATGTCGGGCAAGACAGATATGGAGGCTAAAAATATGTACTACGAAGCCTTGGAGGTAAGACAAGCACTGGATTATTCACGGGATGCTGGTCAGCAGCCCCAGGCTCTCTCACAGGCCCCTGAGTGCTGGGGGGGCTGCGGGGCCAGATGGGCCGAGGCTTGCTCCCACCCCCTGCAGTGAAGAAGATTGACAGGACAGTCCCCTCCCAGCAGGCGTTTTACACCCCTGTGGACCCTCCCGAATGCTCTAAGATTGAGACTGGTTTAGATGCAAAACCCAAGCTCGGGGAGGTAAAGTCGTTTGTCCGAGTTCTCACAGGAAGTGACCCTTAGTCTGATTCAGAAACCACCACCTGCTTGCTGTCTGTGCGTCAGATGATGTATCAGAGCCCAGAGCGCAGCCACACTGTGGGCTTGCACCCCCAATGGTGGCTGCTAGAGTGAGACCTTTAGCCATGTCTTCCTTGCGCAACAGAGGTGACATGAGAAGTATGTCCAAGCTGGAAGAGGTCTCCTTCAGTGGAGCATCCAGTTTTGCTCCTTCTCTTTATGTGGATGGAAACCAAGTCCCAGAGAGGGGAAGGCCCTTGCCCAAAGCCACACAGCACAGAGCTGGCTGAGCTGGCACCACTGCTGGTCTGTCGGTGAGGTATGGAGTGAATGAGGGCTGGAAGGCTGAGGTGAGTCCCTCCAAACTGGAGAGGCCAGGACAGAAGAGGGAATCAGCTACCCTGAGCTGCTGGGAAGAGGGCTAGACCAGGACAGAAGAGGGAATCAGCTAGCCTGAGCTGCTGGGAAGAGAGCTAGAGAACCCCACTGCTGAACAGACACCTCGGAACTCAACTAAGGAAAAGGCACTGAGCGGGTTCTGGGCCTCAGTTTCCCCATAAAGCAAGTTGAGCAAGTTGGAGCTACTCTGCCACCACCTGGGTCTACATTACCCCCTTATGTCCTTTAAACTGGCTTCCCCTCTGCTTTGCACTCTGAATGCTCTATGGGGAACAAAAGCCAGACGAGCTGGACACGCACATCCCTCTCCTCTCTGGCTTCCCTTAGCACCTGTAATAAACCCGACTCCTCTCCTTTACCCACCAGGTCCGCCTTCCCTGGGCCCTGCTGATCACCCTGACTTCATGCCTACCTCTTTGCCCTATGCGCTCTGGGCTCTGGGCACCAGTCTTCCTGCTCTTCCTCAGATACCCCAGGTGATTCCCACCTCAGGGCCTTTGCACTTGCTACCCCCCCTGCCTGGAATTTCATTGCAATGGCTGGGTCCCACTCACTAGTCAACTCTCAAGTCAAATGCCACTGAAACTACCATTCCCAGCCTATCACATTCCCAGGCTTATTCTCTTCAACTTCATCAGCCTCTAAAATTATCACAGGCACAGATTTGTTTACTTCTTCATTGTCTATCTTCCCCAAATACAATATGAGTTATCTGAGATCAGAGATCTTGTCTGCGCCTAAAACTGCCTGGCACATAGCAGGCACATGGTAACTGTTTTGCAAACAAACGAATGAATGAATGAATGCTGAAAGGATGGATGGAGGGAAGGATGGGTGAGTAGACAGATGAGTGGGTGGATGGGTAGGTGGGTGTGGACAGATGAATGGATGTTTAGATGATCTCTAACTACCCTCTGATCACAGGAATCTGGCCAGGAATGGTGGTGCTTAAAAGACACACATTGACATGGACTGGTAGAGCTCAGGACCCTTTAAACTGTAGGCTCAGCAATGAGTTTTCCCTGCCCAGCTCCCTGGCACAAGACCTCAGTCATGAAGCAGCTTCTGGGACTCCAGTCCCATCTCAATCTGAGTCTCAGCCTTGTTCACTCCTGGCTTTGGCTGAGCTCAGACCAGAGCCCGTCAGAGAATTCGTGTGCAGCTGGTGGCGGTGGTGGCCGGAGCCTGCTGCCCAGAGGCCCTTTATGCCTTCCCTTACAGAGTAAACATGAAGTTAATGAGCAGCCAGGCTCCCTGTCCTCAGGGCACACTGTAGTTGAGGCTTCAAGGGAAGAAATGGCCATGAATTATTTAAGGAAACTCCGGAGCACTTGATTTTATAGGAGAGAACTTTGAATAGAAGAGGCTTTGCTCTCTGCATTTGATCTCCCCAGTGAAGAGCTGGAGTGTCTGTGACCCTGGGTGAAAGCTGGGCCTCTGGCAAGTTTGGGGTTTTGAAGAATGTTCTGGTGGTTCTCAACCTTGTTGGCATGTTAAAATCACCTAGGGAGCTGCAAAGTCCTGATGTCCAGACTGCACCCCTGACTCAGAACCTCTGGGCCCCAGCCCGGGCCACATATAAACCTTGGGATTTCCATGTATAACCAGGGCTGGGAACCACTGAGCAAAGACCTTCACCCCTGCCTGCACCTTAGCATCACCTGGGGAGCTTAAAAATCCCGTGCCTAGCCTCACCCCAGGCCAATTAAATCCCAATCCAAGCTTTTTAAAAAGTTTCTCCCACAATTCTGTTGTGCAGCTGGGGTCAGAAACCACCAGGTTAGACCAGTGTCCAGCTGGGGTGGGCATGGGAGGGTCAGATAGATTGGACTGGGCACACCCCTGAGTGTCACCGCAGGAGAAAAACAAGAACAGGGAGAGCTTCAGTCACTTGGGCCTTCTCTGGACCAGTGCGCGAAGTACCTTGTTGTCTTTAGTCCCCATCTTACAAATGATGAAACTGAGGGGATAGAAAGGCCCAAGGTCCACACAGCAACAAGTGTCAGAGCCAGGACACAAACACGGATCTGACTCCAGATCCATGGGCTGGCCCTCACCTACCGGTGGCCAAATCACAGAGGGGCCTGGCCTGTCTGAAACCCCTCCCTCGAGTGCTCAGATGGGGGCTCCTGCCGGCAGCAGAGGAAGGAACAGCCAGCACCAGGCGCTGAGCCAGCCTTCGAATATCGTCTCCTTTAGTCCTCACAACCGATCCAGCAATTGTTATTCCTGTTTTGTAGATGAGCAAAGTGACTCTTCAGAAAACTGAAATGTCACCCAAAGTCATCTAGCTCTTAAATTGCAGGGCTGAGATTCAGACCCAGGCCTCCCACTACTCGGTACTCAGTGCCTACAGGTTACCCCTGCTCTGCAAGGAACAGTACAAACGTTCTTGTTAATATATTTAAAAAGTAAGCCCGGTCTTATGCCCCCCTTAGCTCCTTGCACTGCCTCTTGCTGTGATGAAAACCTTTACCAGTCGTTTGCCAGGCTGCGCCGTCTCGTATTGTGCTCGGAGTTTTAGAAAGCCTTGTTTTTTGCCTTTGCATCTGCGTGTCTCAATTGTCTTCAAAGAGGCACTGGTTTGTAATTTCCTCTTGACTGCAGTGGCTTAGCTTGGGGCCAACCCCAAGTGGAAATAACCAGAGGGAGACGGTCTGGCCGGTGCAGGTGCCAGCTCCAGTGTGTGGCATCCTGAAGTCTCCCTCACATGTCTGTGTTCTCTCCCAGTGTGTTGACAACTGATGACTCTGACCCAGGTTTCTGAGCCCTGACACTCCTCCCCTGCATGGCATGCTTAGCAATGCCAAGCAGCCGCTGGGGACTTGGCTCTGCCCGGGAGCCAGGAGGGGCCCAGAGCAGACCACTCCCCTCCCCGGCAGCCCGGCTGCTTTGCAGGTGCCCTCAGCACTCCCCCATGTGGAGCAGGTGCCCCGGCATGTCACATCATGAGCACTTCCCCACCTGCCACTCAGTGTGGGTCCTGTAGCCAGCTCACAGCCCTGGGCCCTGACCGGAGAGAAAAAAGGAAAAAACAGACCGAGGAGTGAACGAATGTTTTGTGAGCATCTTCTGCATGTCTCGCACTGACTGGGGGCTGCTGGTGGTGGCTTCTGTTGTCACACAGCACTCAGAGTCTGGGAGAGAGACAGGTATGCAACAGAAACATACACCAAGTAGGAATGGCACCAGGTAGAAAGGTGATGGGTCCACAGGTAACGGGAGTGACAGTCCTGCTTTAAATTGGGGCATCCTCTCCAAGTAAGTGACATCCTGGAGGAGGTGGAGTTAGCAGAGTCAGGGCTGGAGCATCAGCCAAGCCCCGAAGGAGGAAGAAAAATGTAGCCTTTGAGAATGTCACCTTTGCAGAGACATTCCCTGGCCTCACTCTGCAAAGTAGGGCACTGCCCCTGCCCCAATTTTTTTTTTTTTTTTTTTGAGACAGAGTCTCCCTCTGTTGCCCAGGGTGGAGTGCAGTGGCGCAGTCTCTGCTCACTGCAACCTCTGCCTCCTAGATTCAAATGACTCTCCCACCTCAGCCTCCCAAGTAGTTGAGACTACAGGTACACACTACTATGCCCAGATAATTTTTATATATTTAGTAGAGATGGGTTTTCGCCATATTGCCAGGATGGTTTCAAACTACTGGGCTCAAGTCATCCATCTGCTTCAGCCTTCCGAAGTGTTGGGATTATAGGCGTGAACCACTGTGTCCAGCGCCTACCCCCTGCCAATTTTTTAATCTCATCCTCTCACTTTGTTTTATTCAAAATGCTGATCACAAATTGTACCTCTCAGCCAGTTGTGGTGGCTCACGCCTGTAATCCCAGCACTTTGGGAGGCCAAGGCAGGTGGATCATCTGAGGTCAGGAGTTCAAGACCAGCCTGGCCAACACAGTGAAACCCCGTCTCTACTAAAAATACAAAAATGAGCTGGGGGTGGTGGCGCGTGCCTGTAATCCCAGCTACTTCGGAGGCTCAGGCGTGAGAATGGCTTGAACCTGAGAGGCAGAGGTTGCAGTGAACCAAGATTGTGCCACCACACTCCAACCTGGGAGGCAGAGTGAGACTGTGTCTCAAAACAAAACAAATTTCCCCTCTCATGTATATTTGGTTTTATTGGAAATTCTCTGCTCTAATGGGTGAGCTCCCTGAGGCAGGGTCCAGGCTTCTCTCCAGCACACCTGTAGCCCCAGCACCTAGCACAGCACTGACACCAAGGAAATTAATGGCTCAGGAAAGACTGGAAGCCAGGAGGTGCATGAGTGAAAGGAGCCACTGTGGGTGAGATAGGGGGAGAAGGGAGGGCAGGAGACAGACTGCAGAGGAATCACAGGAGCCGGTAATTATTGGGGACTCTCTGCTGGAAAATATGCCAAGCCCTGCAGACTTATCTCATTTAATTCTCACAACCCTAAGAGGCAGTTAATGCTCTTCTCCCAAGTTTATACATTAGGAAACTGAGGCACAGAGAGAACAGGCAACCTGCCCAGTATCACACAGCATGGAACTGGTGGAGATGAGATTTGAACCTGACGAGTCTGTGCCCAAGAGCCATGTCCATAGCATCAGGTCCACCCTCAGGGTCCAGATCATGGAGTCTTGGAGGCCCCTCTGGACTTTCACATAAGAGCACTTGGAAACCACTGAAGGTTCTAAGCAGGCAGGTGATATGATCCAGTTCGTTAATTACCAAGTTCAGAGACCCCCTGAAGAGTAGATTGGAGGGGTGAGAGTGGAGGCAGAGGCCTGGCAAGGGCCCCAGAGGACCCCAGTCATGGACCAGGTCCCACCAGCCCATGGAGTCTGGCTGGAGGCTGTGTGAGGCTCCTCCCACCCCCTCTTGTGCCCAGGGCTCCTGGGGCTGACAGCAGTCTGACACTTTTCACAGCCTCGACATCCCAGAGTTTACAGCAGCATCACCTCTTTTCCCACCAAAAGGCATGGCCGTTGGGTAGTGGAGAAGCAGAGCTCTGGACCTTGTGGGGTCTTATTTCTAGGCTGGTGTGGCTGGGTGACCTGGAACAAGCTGCCTCCCCGCCCCCGTTTATCTGTGTTGGATGCTACCACCAAGGTGCCTGGCTTGCTATAGGCATTAAATGAGGAAACGTGACAAAATACCCGTAGAGAGCAGCGCTTCACTTTCTGCAGGAAACGGATAAGAATAGATGGACATTCTTCCCATAAATATGCACATCCACAAAAAAGTGTTGGGTACAGTTTTAGGGGCCTGGACCCCTGAAATCCATCCACAGGCTAGCTGGGCTTCCGGTTAAGATCAGAGGACATAATGGAGGACATATTTTAAAAATAAAAACTTTTAATGTTTTTTAAAACATAGAAGATTTTAAAGGCTGTGTGAGAGACTTGCCCTGGGGAGCTGCCCTGAGTCTGAGCCTCCTAGCAAGTAGCAGCCCCTCCTGTGGCCCTGGCAGGCATCTTGGTCAGCAGAGATCATTGGGCCTCCTCTGCTTGGGATGGAGGGCTTGGCAGAGCTGCTCTTGCTACTGTCTCCAAAATGTTCATTCTCCATCCTTTCCCCCCTTCTCTGTGCCCTCCCATGCCCCTTCTCCCCGCCCAATCCCCACCTTGCTCCCAGGCGATAGAGACCTACTTGCTGAATGTCTCTCCCGGGGGGCTGACCTACATTGCTGAGTGGCGAGGGGGGATTCTGGACCACAAGATGGGGCACCTGGCCTGTTTCTCCGGGGGCATGATCGCCCTCGGCGCTGAGGATGCCAAGGAAGAAAAGAGGGCCCACTACCGAGAGCTCGCAGCCCAGATCACCAAGACGTGCCACGAGTCATACGCCCGCTCAGGTAACCCTGCAAGGGGAAGGGGCAGCAGGAGAGACTGAGGCTAGACACCAGGAAAGACCAGCAGCAGTGAGCGAAGGAAGCACATGGCCTTAGGGAAGCTTCCCCTTGGAAGTTAGGTGGAATTTGAGAGATGTGCTGTCCAGGCTCCGAGACTGTCCCCTGAATGAAAGGGAAGGTAGTACCGGCACGGTAAACACTTTGCATGTGCCCAGCACTCTTCCACCCTTGACACACACCATCACTGAACCTCACCACACAGATGAGGAAACTGAGGCTCAGAGGTTACTTGGCCAAGGTCCCTTGGGGACACAGAGTAAAGGATCCTCCAGCCCCTGAGGCAGAAATGGTGGCTTCCTGAGCCCAACACGTGTCCCACCCTGAGTCCCCTACCTTCGACTGTGCCTCTGCCTTTTCCCCAGCACCCGCCGTAGAGTGGGTCTCACTGCCTCCTACTCCCACCTGTTTAGTCTGCCTCTTTGACCCATGACCACCGGAAAGCCTGAGAGCTTGGTCCTCCCCACCCACTAGTCACCACTGAATTGTCAGACGCTAGAGTCAGGGGTCACATGTGAGAGCATGAGCCTGGCTCCTCATTCTGCACAGAGAAACGGAGTCAGCCCAGAGAGGGGAGGTGACTTAGCCAAAGTCACACTGCACGTGAAGAACTGATCTGGGCTAGAACCCAAGCCTTCTGATGTCTGGTTCCACCCGGCATGCAGACTGCGCCCCTCAGAAAAATCCCTGGCCCCCTTGTGGTCCCAGGAGACATCTGCTGCTCTCAGTGTTAATCCCAGTGTTGGTTGGAGGGGTCGACCCAAGATTTGGAGTCAAAATCCCAGGCTCAAGCGCCGCTCTGCCGCTACCAGCTGGGCTGCCTCTGTTTTCTTGTCTGTTGGATGGGAATAATGACACAGGTCTCAGAGTGAGGCACAGGGTCCCATGAGAAAGGTCTTTGGCCGCCGCCTTGGCCAGCAGCACTGCTGGCACTTGCGGACAGCTCACCACCATGTGTCTGCGCCGCTCCAGTTGAATGGGGTCTCCTGGAGCTGTTTCCAGGAAGTCAGAGATTCGCAATGGGTCTTTAAAACTGGTCGTTCCTTCTCTTCAAAGCGCTTGCTCTGCCAGGGCCATAAACAAATAAGAAATCTCAGGAATAATAAAAAGCTCACTACTTGTCTGGGACAATCAGCCCAGACCATAAAAGACAGCCGCTTAATAGAGCATATTGTTCCAGCCGGCCCCTGCCCCCACCCCACTAGCGACTTGGCAAAACAAATGTTTTCTGATGGCCAGGAACCGCTTCACCATTTGAAAAGATTAGAGATGCCAGGGGTCTAGCTATTTCCTCTTCCCTCAAGCCTGCCATGGAAGAGTAGGAAGTCCTGCAAACCTCTAGCCCCTGCCTCTAGAGGAAAGCAACCCAGGATCTCTCGGGGTTCTGAACCCTGGTGGGTGGGAAGAGGGCTCACATCAGGAATGGAGCTGGGGACTCAGGTGACCTAGACAGGAGGGACAGGCTAAGGAGGAGGATCTGGCCCTCATGCCCTGCATGTTGGGCCTATGAGGGTTAGACCCAGGAGGGAAAGAGCACCACCCTATGAGAAGCATCAGATGCATCCAGAGTCAAGTTCCAGCTCAGCCACAACTTGCTGTGTTACCTTGGGCAAATTACTTAGCCTCTCTGATCCTCAGTTTCCACATGTGTGAGAGGGATAGTAGCAATTACCTTAGTAAAGAAACATTTTTTGAGGATTGAAATGGTGTATTAAAGCACCCAGCACAGCCTTTGAAATCATAAATCGTGGCTGTAGAGGTGGTTTTAATTATGGCCATGCAGCCTGGCACAGTGGCTCACACCTGTAATCCCAGCACTTTGGGAGGCCGAGACGGTGGGCTACCTGAGGTCAGGAGTTTGAGACCAGCCTGGCCAACATGGCGAAACCCCATCTCTACTAAAAGTAGGAAAATCAGCTGGGAGTGGTGGTGCATGCCTGTAGTCTCAGCTACTGGGGAGGCTGCAGCAGGAGAATCACTTGAACCCGGGAGGTGGAGATTGCAGCGGTGAGCCAAGATCGCACCATTGCACTCCAGCCTGGGCAATAAGAGCGAAACCCCATCTCATACAAATGATGGCCATGCAGACAAGAATGGCAGCAAATTGCCCCAGAACAAAACAGTGACAGTAACAGAACCCAGACTTCCTCGGACCTTCCTCGGCTCCCTCTGTGGAAGTAGGCGCATTTCTGGGCAATCTTCCCTTCATCTCCACCTTAGCAGTTCTGAGACTGTACAAGTTTGCCCTGGGAGGTGTTAAAAGTAGATCTCTAAGAAAAAAGGTCATTGCATATTAGCGTATTAAAGGATCTGATAAATCCTGCAGACTGGAGACTGACTTTGTTTAACCCTCTGTTTCCCCCATGTGTTGAAAACCAAAACCCTCTTGGCTGAGGTGTGACTAACCTCTTGCAGAGCTATTGCCTCAAAGTGCACAGCTGTGGGACCCCACCCAAACCTTCGCCTACCCAAGACTGCCGAGTGGCTCATTCAGACTCAGAGTCCAAAGCTGCTCAGATTTGGAGTCCCCAGGGGTCTTGTTTTGTCCAGCCCAGGCCAAGGGGGAAGCAGTGCATCTGCCAGTGCAGCCTCACGCAGCAGTCCAGGCAGGGGCACCCCACACCCACACACCCCTAACATCACCCTGGCCGTGGGTTCGAGGCAGCTGGGGCTGGATCCCGGACAGCAGGAGGTGGGAAGTCTGACCTGGGCTTTCTGCTTGGCTGTTTCCCCAGACACCAAACTCGGGCCCGAGGCCTTCTGGTTCAACTCTGGCAGAGAGGCCGTGGCCACCCAGCTGAGTGAGAGCTACTACATCCTCCGGCCAGAGGTGGTAGAGAGCTACATGTACCTGTGGCGACAGACCCACGACCCCATCTACAGGGAGTGGGGCTGGGAGGTGGTGCTGGTGAGTGGCCCTCAGGGATGGGCGGCTGGGTGCAGGTGCCCCTGAGAATTCATAGACAGCCAGGTGCTAGGTACCCTGGCTTGGGCACGGAGAGGAAGGCTAAGCCACGTTGACCTCTGGCTACAGTTCAGAGTACAAAGGGTCAAGGTGGTGGTTACAGAGTCGGGAGTCCCCAGCTGGGCAAAGCCGCCCAGAGACAGGACAGGGCTGACCCATGAAGGGGGTTTTGAGTGCCCATGGCCTTGGGACCAGACCTCAGCAAACTTAGAGGGCCAGAGGCGAGGCAGCTGTCCAGAGCACCACGCCACCACTGCTGTCCCGATAGATGCTTTCCTGCTCCCAAAGCTGGGCAGCTCATTTCCGCCTCCCTCTTCCCACAGGCAGCCTAGCCTCAGGGAGTCCCTACCCTAGTTTCTACTGGTCCTCGAGGCCTACCCTGCCCTCAGCCCCTGGCCCCACACCTAGGTAGAAAGCTCATGGCCGTGTTGGGGGAGGTGTCAGAGGCAGGTATGGGGATTCCAGGAGGTTCCCTGGTGGATGCTGAGCCTTCTCTGCCCCTCTCTCCCCCACTACCGCCCCCCTATGCCCACTCTAAGCATTGCACTCAGATGGGGCCCGGGGCATCCTCAGGTTCACTGGCCTGGTTAAGTCCTCCTGCTTCTCCAGGACCCTTATTCTTGGCCTTCAGAGGCCAAGCATCTTGTGCTCCTATGCCCAGTCCACAGACCCCTCAGTGGGTAGAAATTGTACTTATCAGCCTACAGGCAACACAGCGAAACCCCATCTGTACCAAAAAATACAAAAATGAGCCAGGCATGGTGGCACATGCCTGTAGTCCCAGCTACTTGAGGAGCTGAGGCAAGAGGACTGCTTAAGCTCAGGTGGTTGAGGCTGCATTGAGCTATGATTGTCCCACTGCCCTCCAGCCTGGGTGACAAAGTGAGACCTTGTCTCAAAAAAAAAAAAAAATGCATTTATATAGAAAGATGAATGGCATGGCCCACGTGCCTCCAGCCAAGGGACCATCTCTCCAGAGAATCCCTGGGATACCAAGTCCATCCCAAATCCTAGCCCATGGCCATTACTAATGGCCTCTCTTCACCTCTGCCTACGTCTGTGGGTGAATCTGTGAGACCAGCCTAGTCCCCTGAAACACAAAAAGAAGCTTCCTCTAAGTTCAAACCAGGTGAAGAACTCAGGACAGGCAGCCCTTCAGGCCAGAGCTCTCAGAGGTGTGGGTGGAGGGAGTGTGGCCCCTCCAGCCTGGGGACAGGTGGCTGAACCCTGACAAATAATTTGGCCTTCTGTTCCCACAAATGCCAGGAGTCTGCAGCCAAGGGGTGGGGGTGCTGTTTTCGAGCTCCAGCCTGGCAGGCATGTGCAAGTCTTGAGGGCCTTTCCCTCCCGTGCTAATGCTGTCTTCCTCTTCTTCAGGCCTTGGAGAAATACTGTCGGACAGAAGCCGGTTTCTCCGGGATCCAGGACGTGTACAGTAGCACCCCCAACCACGACAACAAGCAGCAGAGCTTCTTTCTAGCGGAGACGCTAAAGTGAGCAGCCTGGGCTTTTCCTAGGGATGGACAGGTGGGAGATCGGGGGTGGGGGTCCGCAGTCCTTCCCCTCCACAGTTAGGTCCTGTGGTCACCCAAGATGGGTGGAGCGCCCTGCACCCCAGGGGTGAGCCTTGGGCCAGGCCGCTTTCTCAGAGAGTGAGACTGGGGCAGACTCCAGGTTCCCTAGGGATGCGCCGTGTACTGCAGCTTCCTTCAGTTTCTCACCTGTCTCCCCAGGTTACTTCTGTTCTGGGAGCTGCGTCCTCACGTGTGAAATGGGATAGGATTAACGATGATGATGTCAGTACTGGTTGCTGGCATTGACATTCCCTCCTGGGGCCTCTGTAGTGTGGCTGCTGCACCCCCCTCACTTTCTTGCCACAGAAATTGGCCACCCCACTGCCTCGCTGTTCCCCAAAGCCAGCCCTGTGTGCTTTAACCCTTTAGGGTGGGTCAGAATGATCAGTTCTTCCATCAGGGAAAAAACTCACAGCCAACTAGTTTTTAAAATCATGCGTATTTTAACTCATAGGCAGGAAGCTGGAGTTCTAGAGTCACAGCCCCCTGTTCATCTTAGTGCCCTAATGTGTACTCTGAATGTAGCGTCTCGGTGGGCAGCAGCGGGCACATAAGAACCTATTGGACTAGAGCAGCCTCCAGCCCCCTGCAGAGGAGAACCTGGGCCATGCGAGCTCACATACGAGGCTGGGCAGGTGAAGCTGGCTGATGGCAGAGCCAGGGTAAACTAAGTCCTTCCGACCCCAAAGCTCGAGGCTTTTCTCTGCATCCACAGCCTCCTTCCTCAAGACTAGCACCCCTACCCTGCCACCCACAGTTTTGGGGTTTCAGGCTCCTGACCTTGGCCACGGGCCCATCACAAAGGCCGAGACTTGTTCCCGGGCCCACTCTTCTTCCCCAGGCCACTGACAGACTGTGTCTTGCTTCCCTGCCCCACCCGGGGCACAGGTATCTCTATCTTCTGTTCTCTGAAGATGACTTGCTCTCCCTGGAAGACTGGGTGTTCAACACCGAGGCCCACCCACTCCCAGTGAACCACTCAGACAGCTCCGGCAGGGCCTGGGGCAGACACTGACTGTCTCCCACCACCACCCTGGGAACGTTGCAGGGATGCCTTGCCTTTTCAGGATTTGGGACTGTTCTCAAAGGGATTGGGAACGAAGGCCCCATCTCGGGCAGACCCCCAGCAGATGTGTCGGACAAGCAACTTCTTTTCCTCTATGAGGAGACAGGACTTGGAGACGCAGCGATGTCACACGAGGGCTGTGGCCACAGTGGCCCACACATTCCTTTCTACAGAGAATTTCTATGAAGCCACTCACTTGCCATTCCAGGGCCGAAGGGCCGGAGGTTTGCATATCCGCCCCATGTATTTGATTTGCTTCCTTTTGGTTTCTCGGTTTTTGTTTTTGCTTGATTTTGTCTTTACAGTTTAGTTTTATCACAATTATACATATAGTTTTTAAAATCATGCGCATTCTAAAATGGTGTCTTCCTGATAAACAAAACCCAGTGCTTCAGCACACATGAAATCTTGACCCCATTATCTATGTTTTAAATGCTTTTTGCCCAAAACTGACCCTACATTCAACTATGTGTCATTTACCTTATAATTTGAGGAGGGGTTCCCTTTGATTGGGCCTCAGTGTTACAAATCACTAGTGATATTTTCATTATTATTGTAATGGGAAAATCTGTGAACCAGAATAAAAGAGTTTATTGCATAAGAAATATGACTGGGCTCATTGCACATCAGTGACTCCTAGAAAAAGCCATTGCAGTGTTACCGTCAGAAAGAATAATCAACCAGCAGTTGATTTAAGGTATCATTTAGTAAATGATTCCAACTTCTATTACCTCCCCTGAATCGGTCCTGATATATTCAAGAAGCATGAGGCCAGTCCTTCAGATGGATTGTTCATTTATACTCAGGTTGCGACTGGGAAGAGGCCCAGGGAGGAGCTGCAATTCGCCTAAGGTCACACAGCCCGTAAAAGGCAGAGGTGAGTCTCGCCCCTGCCATCTCCTGGCCACCCCAGTTGAGTGTCCTGATGCCCCATCATTCAGCAGATGCTTGGTGAGTGCCTGTAACGGGCCACACACTGAGCTAGAGGCCAGGGACACCACTGAGAGTGAGGAAGCCGTGAGCCCTCAGTCAAGGGGTCAGGAGGGGAGAGAGCGATGCTAAGGGAAACTGACAAGTAAGTGAAGTGACTGCAGGTTATAGGAAAGGCTACAAAGGGGACAGAGACAGCTGAGCGAGTCATAGTAGGACCTACCCTATAGGGTCAGGGAGGTCCTTTCTGGGCAGGTGACCTTCAAGCCATAAGAAGGAGCAGAGGAAAGACTATCTGGCACAAGAACGAACCTCCCGTAACCCGGCCCCCTTTCTCACCCTCTCCAGTGCCCTCCCTGGGAGGAGGCCTGAAACACTGGGGCTGCTGTGCAGAGCAAAGAGTTCAGGTCCTCACACTGAAGTGACGGCTCTTCCTCCCATGACAGTTTTTGTTGTTGTTGTTGAGAACCAGAGTCTCGCTCTGTCGCCCAGGCTGGAGTGCAGCGGCGTGATCTCAGCTCACTGTAACCTCTACCTCCTGGGTTCAAGCAATTCTCCTGCCTCAGCTTCCCCAGTAACAGGGATCATACCTGGCTAATTTTTTGTGTTTTTAGTAGAGATGAGGTTTTGCCATGTTTCCCAGGCTAGTCTTGAACTCCTGAGCTCAGGTGATCCTCCCACCTTGGCCTCCCAAAGTGCTGGGATTGCAGGCATGAGCCACCACACCCAGCCCTCTCCTGGCACCTTTGCAGCTTGTCAACACAGCAGAAGTCACAGGAGAATTTTGAGGCCTTCCCTGGGCTCAGCCGCTTGCTATGTTCATAAACTTTAGTAGTCTCTAGGCCTCTGGCCAGGTGACCTGGCTTTAAATCCCTGCTGTGTGAACTTTGTCAGGTACCTCCCCTCTCTGGGCTTTTCTTTTCCATCAAGCAGCCAGAGACCCTCAACCCCACAAGGTTGCTGTGAGAAGAAGTGGCCCTGGGTGCAGGAAGTATCTGCTCCTTGTTCTGGAGACTCAGACATTCCCAGAATCTTTTTTTGAGACAGAGTCTCATTCTGTTGCCAGGATGGAGAGCAGTGGCATGATCTCGGCTCACTGCAACCTCTGTCTCTCCGGTTCAAGCAATTCTTCTGCCCCAGTCTCCCAAGTAGCTGGGACTACAGGCGTGTGCCACCCAATACCCAGCTAATTTTTCTACTTTTAGTAGAGACAGGGTTTCACCATGTTGGCCAGGCTGGTCTCAAACTCCTGACCTCAGGTGACCCATCTGCCTCGGCCTCCCAAAGTGCTAGGATTACAGGTGTGAGCCACCGTGCCTGGCCTCCCAGAATCTAAGCAGAGCTGCTGGGGAGTAGGCCCTGTAGCCCTGTGGCAAGTCACCACACTCTTGACAGGCAGCATGAGAGTGTGACTCCCGTGACCCACCTGTGGTCACTTATTAGAAAAAAAAAAAAAACCGCCGGGCGCGGTGGCTCAAGCCTGTAATCCCAGCACTTTGGGAGGCCGAGGCAGGTGGATCACGAGGTCAAGAGATCGAGACCATCCTGGTCAACATGGTGAAACCCCGTCTCTACTAAAAATACAAAAAATTAGCTGGGCATGGTGGCGCGTGCCTGTAATCCCAGCTACTCAGGAGGCTGAGGCAGGAGAATTGCCTGAACCCAGGAGGCGGAGGTTGCGGTGAGCCGAGATCGCGCCATTGCACTCCAGCCTGGGTAACAAGAGCGAAACTCCGTCTCAAAAAACAAAACAAAACAAAACAAAACAAACAAACAAACAAACAAAAAAAACCAAACCAGGGAAACTGACTATACAAACATTGTAGAACAATTAGAAAATGAAGAGAAGCAGAAAGAAGACTCGTTTGCCATCCTGTACTCTGGGGTGAATACTGTTATATTTTCTGCTAGCCCTTTTGCTATGAATATATAGAATATATATTTTGCCGACATGGTATCATACTATGCACACTGTTTTCTTATAATCTGCTTTTGCACTTACTATATATTGTGAACCTCTTTCCTTGTCAACAAATACACGTTTGTCTCATCACTGTACCTGCTGTGGAGTGTTCCGTTGTGTGCCGTATCCTACTTTGCTGATCTCAGCCCCCGTTGCCAGGTATTTGGCTTTGTGTCCATCTGGGATTTTAGTTACAAATCACAGAAACCAACTCTGTCAACTCAAGCACAGAAAGGGATTGATTGAAATGCGATGGGGTGGCTCATGGAATCTCAGGAAAGAGTAAACAGCCAGACCTCAGAAGGGCTAGAAAGGGCCGGGGATCCTTCAAGAACCAGGGAAGCCTCTCCAGACACCGCCATCAGGAGGGCTGAAGCCAAATGCTTCTAGATCCTACTGTGGCGCCTTTCCATGTGGCCCGGCCTGGGTCATATGCCTGCCCCTTGGCAAGGGCAGGGCCAAGCATCTTGGCTGGCAGACCCCCAAGACTCTGTACAATGGGTGAGGGGTTTTTCCCTAGAGGTACATCACCAATGTAAGGGCTCTGCAGGCGGCACAGGCGAAAACACCAGGACGGTTTACAGCTTTCTTTGATCTCTTCAGTATGACACAGAGAGTGGAAGAGCACACTTAACCATCCTCCTTTTCACTTTTGCCCAATTATGTCCTTAGAACAACTTCTAGAATGTCTTTCCATCTTAAAGCCACTTTGCAGTTCCCCAGGCTCCGGGCTCCCCCACTGGCCTGTGCAGCTGTCTCCCTCTCCTCTCCTGTCCTCTGCTGTATTGCTGGGAGGAAATTGTAAAAATGAATATTTTAAAATGTATCCTCCAGGAGGGCCCTTGCAGGTGGAGAAATATCATCCTTTTGGCAACTTAACTCCATTCTGTGGATAAAAATAAGTAAGACTCAAGATAGGCCAAGAGGAGAGAGGAATTAAGGGATGAGTCATCCTCACTGAAGGTAGCAGAGAGCTGCGCAAGCCACAGAATCTGAACACCCGAACCTCCCTGAAGCAGCTCTCTCCTTCCCCAGCTGGGGGTCAGTGTACGGCTGCCAGGCTCATTTTAAGCCTCATCTGTGCCCTCACTGAGGATCGAAGCATCATTTGCACCTGCTTCCCTCATAGATAGGCGTGATGCCAGCTCCTTCCCAGAAAGCTTCATCAACACCCAGCTCCTGGCACTGAGGCCTGCATCATGGCCCCGGGAAGGGGGATGAGGGGACCACAGTCCTTTTCTAGGTGCCTCCCTTTAAATGACTGTTTGTTCAGACCAGCCAAATGCATTGGGAAGACGAGCAAAAATGGAAAATCTGATGTAAAGGCAGTATCCAAGATGTGATTCTCAGTTCTGTTCCCTCTGCTTTGGGGAGGTGACCCCATTGTGGTTTGAGAAAGTGCTAGAGATGAACGGGCCAGCCGCCCCCCAGCGTTTCCCCTGGAGGCCTGTCCTTGGACCTATGGTCATTGGTCATCTGGCAGGCACAGAGACGCCCCGCCCTCTGTGACTAATGCTTAATTACACCCTACTGGAGGCGGAGGAGCTGATTCTATTTTTTGTATCTGAAAATATCAGTTTGGCTTCCTATATTTGGAGCGGTATTGTGTTCCTGCTCAGCCCGTCTCTGAAGTCAGAGCTTCTCAAACTTGAACATGCACAGGAATCACCTGGGCAGCTTGTTAAAATCCAGGTTCATCTTCAGTGGCTCTGGCATGGAACCTGAGATTCTGCCCCCTTTTTTTTTTCTAAGCCAGGGTCTCACTCTGTCACCCAGACTGGAGTGCAGTGGGGCCATCACAGCTCACTGCAACCTCCATCTCCTGGGCTCAAGCAATCCTCCTACTTAGCCTCTTGAATAGCTGAAACTACAGGTGTGTACCACCACACACAGCTAATTTTATTTATTATTTATTTATTTGGAGAGGGAGTCTTGCTCTGTCACCCAGGCTGGAATGCAATGGCGTGATCTCAGCTCACTGCAACCTTTGTCTCCCGGGTTCAAGCAATTCTCCTGCCTCAGCCTCCCAAGTAGCTGGAACTACAAGCACGTGCTGCCGCATCCGGCTAATTTTTGTATTTTTAGTAGAGACAGGGTTTCATCATGTTGGCCGGAATGGTCTTGATCTCCTTACCTTGTGATTCACCCACCTCAACTTCCCAAAGTGCTGGGATTACAGGTGTGAGCCACCGCGCCCGGCGGCTATTATTATTTTTTGGCTATGTTTCTCAAATTGGTCTTAGACTCCTGGACTCAAGCAACCCTTCTGCCTCAGTCTCCCAAAGTGCTAGGGTTACAGGCATGAGTCACTGTGCCCAGCCAGATTCTGCTTTTCTCTAAGAAACTCCCAGGAGATGTTGATGCTGCTAGTCCTTGGACCACATTTGGTGGCCACACCCTTGGTTTCTGCCTTTCATTTGCATCCCTGGAGCTGTAACTGCTCCAGAGTGGAGTAGAGGCGCTTAGGTGTTGGGATGGCATCTATAAATACCTTGACTGCAGAGGGTCCTACCTTAAAACAGGTGTGCATGCCACCTATGTCAACAGCTCTCCCTTCTTCAGGACAGTCAGGATAAGACACCAGCAGATGGCTTAGAAAAATGATGTTCAGTAGGGTCACCCCACGTGGATCATTAATACTTAAAATGTGGTGAGTGCAAAGGAGGAGCTATTCTTTTATTTTTCTTTCTTTCTTTCTTTCTTTCTTTTTTT